CTCTAACCAACTTATACTCAAAGAAAAACACCATATAATAACTTGTGGCCCATCCATCATGGCTTCCTACTTTCTAAAAGAGACCACACATAGCTCTCTCCATATCTCAAACATTATCCCTAGAGAAAGCAACTAAATCTACTTTCCAAATGGTAGCAATCAAGGTTAGCTGTTCACCCAATGGTCACTGTCCTGCTGTTGGGTTTTAAAATCACGGATTAAAATCTCGTCATTTTCCTCCCAATAATAGTACCGGACCAAAAAAAAAGGGTACCAATCAATTTAGCGTCTTGAAGACGGTGTATTAAAATGTATCAAACACAAAATGGGATATAAGTCAGTGCCGTCTGCTAAGAACACAACCAATGGTTGATAAAAATGGTTAAGAAATAAATCTGATGGGGACATGTGTAATATATAAATAAAAAGGTTAATGTAGGTGTAATATATAGCTGGATTCTACTGTTTTATAGAACCATTAAAGAAGCAGACGCGTCTTTTTTCAACAGCAACCTACAAGAAATTAAAATTTTCACTTTAGCCACATGAAAAAGAAACAGACCCAAAAAAATTGGTTTTGAACATTAAAATATGCCCTGGAAATGATTAAAAATGTTCCACGATGTCCAATAAAACTGAAACGATACAGAGAAGATCAATATGACTCTGCAAAAAAAGATGACACGCAAATCGAAAAATAGCCAAAAAAGAAAAAGAAAGAGTGGTTAAAAACAATGAATGTATAATATCTCATGAAGTCATAGAAATTGTAACATAAGAACAGAAATACCCTTTACTCATAAAGCATATGATTTCAAAATCCAGAAACATTAATTATCATGTGCATTTTGATCTGTATCAATGGCCATGTACAACACGAAAACAAATTCTCTGTTCCAGATCACTCGGTCTTCCCAGAAATAATCTAACCCATTTGTGTATTCAAACCAAAAACACAATCTAGAGAGAGAGATTTGCAAGATTCATTCCTGAATAACATCATGAATGATGAAACAATCATCTTTTGAAAAAATCAGGTGCATTTTGATCAAACCCATCGTGCATTGACAGGAGACCCTAGTGTGAACGCCTTTTTTGTTGTACATTTTGATCAGACACATCGTGCAGTGACAAGAGATCCGTGCACTGGGTCGCCTTTTTTATTTACATTTGGATCTTGAAGAGAAAGAAATTTGCAAGATCTATTCTTGAATAACAGCATGAACAATCATAACCTTAAACAACTCAAAATATCATATTTTACCAAAAACCAAAAACAGGATTAGGCCAATGAAGCTCATTACCTTTCCAATGGTCTCAAACAGAGTAACATTGAAAGAAGCTGCGGTGAGAATAACCTGAGGAAAGCTAGTGGCTCCGGGAACAAGACTCGAAAAATGAGTCCCCGGACCGACGTAAGAGACCCCATGTAAAGCCTCAGACCACCATTCATACTTTGGAATTCCAAGCCTGCTCACACTTCCAGCAGCATTCACCAAGAACCCAATTTTCTCCTGCAATGTCAGTCTCTTCACTAGATCATCCACTCTAATTTTCAACCCCAACGACGAATCGCAGAACGTAAAATTCGACAACCCGGGATTGTTATCGACATCACAGGCGAAAACTGGCGAGGTTTGTGCCAAAACTTGGTTGGAATTCAAGAAAAAATTACACAGAATTGAGGTGATAATTTGAAAACAGAGGAAAACAGAGAGCTTGGTTGGTGCTCTGTTCTGAGAGGCCATTTGTTTCTGTGACTTCCCCAACAAAAATGAAACTATATAGAATGTGAATGTAGTGTGTGTGTGAGAGAGAGAGAGAGAGAGTGTGTGCAATACTGTAATCTTGGTTAGGTTATATAGTGAGAGTGTGTTGAAATGTTTCTATACGCATGTTGTTTTGTAGCAACCCGTGAAGGGTAAGTGTGAAATAGTCTGAGGAGAGTCCTATTAATTGTATTTTTTTTTACTCTCTCTCTCTCTCTCTCTGGAATTTGAATTAAACTTATATGAATCCGTGAAAGATTTTTCTTTTATCTCTTTACCAAGTTTCTATAATCAACTTTTTGTTTGGATGTTTCCTTGCAGTGTGTCATGATGAAGATGGGAGAGAGAGAGAATGTGTCCTATAATACATCAATCATATATAATAATTAGTAATAATTTATTGTCTAAAAACCCGATACAATGTCAAAAATCAAATTAATCTTATTTTAAATGATAATTTAATTTTTTTAATTACTCAACTTAAAATTAAAATAAAGAGAAATGTAGATATAAATTGATAAAATTGTTTGATATTAGAGAATGTGTTGATTGAGATATCTGGTATTGAGGGTCGTGCAAAAAAATTAATATTTTTAAATTGAAAAAAAAAATGAGATGAATTTTGTACAATTTGCTCAAACTTGACTGTTGAGAATTCAACTTTTTAACTGTAATATTAAAGAGTAATGCTATATATCTCAAATTTTTATCCCAAATCAATAAGGATGGTTGTCCCAATTAAAAAAGTTAATAAAACCCACTCATTTCATGGTCCCGTTCATTTGAAATACAAATTTGAGTTACAAATTTAAGGTACATTCTATTTCCCAATATTAAATAGATATTGAATAAGACTATGCTAAGGCTCAATGGTTTTTGATTAGGTGATTTATAACCACTAATTGAAAAAATAATAGAAAAAAATTATATAAAATAAAAAAAAAAGTACGTGTCAAATATTTTTATTAAATAAAAAGTAAAAATTTGATACTACAAAATAATATTTTAATACCGCAACCCGGACCCACAAATACATATTTGTATGTATATAACACTATGTAGCATTTTTTGAGGTATAGTTTTTTCTTGGAGTGCCGAAATTACGTTTGTTCAGTTCTGTCTGTAACTCTCGTGAAGATAAGGCGGCTGAATTTTAGGCTGCATAGTTCATTGCTAGCCAAGCCAATTATTGTGTTAATCGCAGAGAACCACGTGGAGATATGTGGTCTGTGTGTGTGTGTGTGGTCAAATCTCTTTGTAATACAAATTCATTTATTTATTTTTTAGAGAGAGTATAAAATGTTTTAATTTTTTTTTAGTAATGCTATAAGGACCTATTGACGTGGTTTTAATACAATCATTGAATTAGTTGTAAATTTTAATGTTAAATAAAATTCACAATCAATCTAATGGTCATAAATCATTAGATCCCCCTAAATAAGGTCTACATAATATTTTTCATTTTTTTTTTGGTTGTGGAATATTTTTTCCAAGTCCCAATAGTTTCACATGAGTTATAGAAGTNTAGTAATGCTATAAGGACCTATTGACGTGGTTTTAATACAATCATTAAATTAGTTGTAAATTTTAATGTTAAATAAAATTCACAATCAATCTAATGGTCATAAATCATTAGATCCCCCTAAATAAGGTCTACATAATATTTTTCATTTTTTTTTTGGTTGTGGAATATTTTTTCCGAGTCCCAATAGTTTCACATGAGTTATAGAAGTAAATATAAGGAAGGATAAAAATAAAACAACTAATATTGTCTCCTTTTGGGATTAAACGAAGGCATCGATTATTGAAAAGTTTTTAACAGTTTGTCATTTGCCTTTAAAATCAGGGAAAAAAATTTTAAACGCTTATTATATAGATATTGTCTTCTAAATAGATCATCCATCATTAATTATTGAGTGACTCACTTATATTTAATCGNCGAAGGCATCGATTATTGAAAAGTTTTTAACAGTTTGTCATTTGCCTTTAAAATCCGGAAAAGAAATTTTAAACTCTCATTATATAGATATTTTCTTCTAAATAGATCATCCATCATTAATTATTGAGTGACTCACTTATATTTAATCGATCTCACATTGAATAGTAATAAATGAGATGAGACATTATATTAGAGAGTATCTCATGAAATTACTCCATCACTCCTCTATCTACTCCAAAAGATCTTTTAGAGAAAAGGGATTAAGATCCCCTCTATTCCAATTTGCCTATTACATGATAACCTACCATTAGTTCAAGGTATAAAAGTATAATGTAGGAATAAAAATGCAAGAATAAATCTAATGTGTTTGGTGTAGCTTATAAATTATGGACATGTGTATTCACCACAGAGAGACGTGCGTGGCAAGATGAGGGAGAGGCGAGGAGTGACATTGCAGGTCAGACCCACCCAATAACCACAGAAATTGCAGAAGCCATCCAACCAGTATCGCAGAAAGATAAGGCATATCCCCCTCACCATAGAAGTACATCTAGGCCTTGTCTTAAAGGACAAGAACGACATAGTGAGCGCTTGAGGGCAACCTTATCTAGTTTGTCACCGTTGTTGTGAAAGTAAATACATACAATTGGGATCCGACGAATAATGAGGAGTATATCCCTAATAAATTCTCGAGAGGTATCCTCATAAATAAAACCTTTAGAGAGAACCTGAGAGATGACATAACTCCGCTTTAAGATAAGGAAATATGACCATTCCCAAGAGAGAATTAAGCAACAGGGGTGGACGAACATGATTGTCAACCTTGACTTCGGCGTAGCTTCGAATGCTTACTCTGCTCAAACACGTCTCTCAATGTATGATTCACTGTCTACTAGATTGCACTTGACTAGGATCTAAAGAGACTCCTAGGGTAGAAAGGAGTAAATTATACATATCAACATATGAGATGATGAGACATGTGAAGTTGTAGTTAAAAAACGAAAATTTATATGATATTTTTTGATCGAGTATCTTGGCGATAACCTCAGAAGGGGGTTTCGAAAGGAAAGAAGACTCTATGGTACATGCACATAGGGTGCATTGTGATTATGACCCTCATGCGGTAACCAGCCAGGATCCTTTACCTCGGGCATCCCCCTTACCTCAGAGAATGTACTCCTTCCTTGAGGACCAAATTTAGAATATATCTGAAAAGACGTCATATTTATGTAATTAAGGTTAGGGACACCTGACGTGCAATGCTTGACCTTCCGTACAAATACTGTCAAAATTAGTTGCAAGTAAACATACTTGTTGCGTACGATATTGACTCTTATACAAAAACTATTGTAGATAGTTTTCGTTCTGTCGGAGTACCTATGCTATAATTATCCTTATCATTTGTCTCTATAGTACACATAGCAACCCTGTCTGAAATAGATAATTCGACAAATGTTAGAATATTCATTAATTTTATTTACTCAAATTTTTTTTTTCTTACTCAAAAGTTGATACCAAACAGCAATTAGATAACTAGAATCCTTCATCCATCCTACTCATTTTTCGAGATATTGACATTAGACAATTGGGTCTCTATCATTTTAACTCCCCACCAACAGTTTGCAGCTCAAATCACCATTTAAGACTCAATTCTCAGATTCATATTGAGTTAACATTCAAGTCAACATATTGAATTAAATATCAAATGACTTCCCATAAGGCACCAGGTTGTCGGTGTGACCCCCCCAACCCATTCTCTATCTTACAAGTCCCATTCACATCAACTTTCATACTTTAGGAGATGACTATGTTTATTTCATCGTCATGCCCATACGATAAAGATGTTGCAAATTTGAAATAAGTTGGTAGCAAATTCTGTGGGGATATTGCTTTCCACACATAATTAAATGTGTCATAAAGTCTCCTGACTTTCATTTTCCCATTAAAGGGGCTTGAGCAACTTTAGTAAATATTGTAGATCTATGGCCAAGTTGAGTATAATTTTTTCTTAGTTTCTACTTTTCCTCTTTTAAAAAACAATGTTATCGGGACTAATTTATTGACCTAATATTTTCCACACTTCTAAGGAAAGCCACTCTTGTTCCTCAAGGGACATGTCCTTAAATTGGCTCGAATTACGTTGGTCGGCTTACGGTTCGAACGGGCAGTCAAGATAAACCAAGACATCTTGTAGCCAAAAATAAAAAATAAAAATGACGTGANAGGGACATGTCCTTAAATTGGCTCGAATTACGTTGGTCGGCTTACAGTTCGAACGGGTAGTCAAGATAAACCAAGACATCTTGTAGCCAAAAATAAAAAATAAAAATGACGTGATCCAATAGTGTTGTTGTAACTGTAACTTTTGAATTTTTTCATTGATATTCCGTCACTTGAAACATCATTATGTCAATAAATTAAATTAATTTTTTATTTTTTTTAGAATAGCACCTTTTAGTAAAAATCATAATGGTAATATCAATCTGCCATAATTATGAGAGGCTATGGAAAATTAATAATNATTTTTTCATTGATATTCCGTCACTTGAAATATTATTATGTCAATAAATTAAATTAATTTTTTATTTTTTTTAGAATAGCACCTTTTAGTAAAAATCATAATGGTAATATCAATCTGCCATAATTATGAGAGGCTATGGAAAATTAATAATTGATCCATTTTAAATTTGAAAAAAAAAAAAAGTTATCTCTTATTCAATTTCTTCTTAAACTAAGGAATGATGAGATGGGCGCCAAACCGAAAGGTCTTCCCCGATCCAATCCAATCCAATCAAGTTCTTACATTTATAGAATCAATCTCTCCCTCCCTCCCCCTCTGTCTCTCTCTCATCATGTTGCTTTTCTAAGTCAGTCTAGTGTGGTGGCCTATGAAGTCAGTGAAAGAATGGCAGGCCCCGTGATTGGGTGGTGAACCATGTCTTTTTTTTANATACCGAAAGGTCTTCCCCGATCCAATCCAATCCAATCAAGTTCTTACATTTATAGAATCAATCTCTCCCTCCCTCCCCCTCTATCTCTCTCTCATCATGTTGCTTTTCTAAGTCAGTCTAGTGTGGTGGCCTATGAAG